TTCCCGCCTTTCCCCCCCCTCCCTAAATTGCAGTTTGTCTGCCGGCTACGTTTTTAAGGTGGGGCCATCTAGCTCCCGCAATCCCCTTCCCCCCCCTTTTTTTCTCCCCCCCCAAAAGGGTGACGTTTTGGGGCTCTTTTTAAAACTGAAAATCACTGGGACTCAAAACCCCCACCCTCTTCGTAAGTACATGCCCCTGCCTTGTTTTCCCAAGTGGATTTTTTTGGGTTTTAAAAGCTTCATTTTTGACCAATAAAAAAATTTTAGCCCTTTTTCAGTCTTGCTTTTTGGGTTTTGACTTTTAAAAATAATCCCACTCCTTTTGAATTTTTTAAACACTCCCATAAAGATGATTTTTTAAAGCAGTGGGTAACCTTTTCTATTTTTCCACTTGGATGTCAAGGGGGTTCACCGGCAATCCCCAGTAGAACAGAAAAAAAGGATTTAAGTCCAAAATTTCCCCAAAAGGTTGTTTTGAAGTACCTGTGCACCGTAAAAATTTGAAAGGACAAAACCCACAGAAATGCACGGTAAAGAACCTGCTTTCCTGTCTTGGGGATAGAAAAATCACGGGTATACGGGTAAAACACCCCAGGGGTGGTCCCAACACCCTGCGAACCCCCCCCCCTTATCATCAGAAAAGGTTTCGGCTTCAACAACAGGGGCACCAACACCAGACCCATTTTGTATTATGTTGAGTAAAATGTTTTTTTTATTCATTTCATTTTTCATTTTTTTTTCAAATGGGAAAATACCTTTCATTTTTTGGTTTGTTTTATTTTTATTTAATAAATGGTTTATTTTGTGAATTAAAAATTTTTTTCTATTCTTTAAAATTTTCCTGAGGGGAACCCCGGGCAAAATAATACGACTGAAGTTGTTACGGGGCTGGTAACCCTTTTTTTTTTTTTTTTTTTTTTTTTTTTCTTTTTTTTTTTTCAGGCCACCCTGCCTTGGGGAGAGGGACGAAATGTTTTACAAAATATAATATATAATATATTTTATATTTATATATACATATATATATATATATATATATAATAAATAAATATATATATATTAAAATTATAATATAAAATATATAAATATTAATTAAAAAGTATTTATATTTATATATATATAAAATATTTTATAAATATATATAAAATATATATATATATATATATAATAAAATATAAAATATATATAATATATATTTTATTTTATATTTTGTAAATATATATATATATAATATATAAATAAAAATAATATATTTTAAAATATATAAAAAATATATATATAATATAAAATTTTATATATATATATATAAATATATATATAATAAATATATATATATGCTTTTAAAGAGTTTTTATGGGGATAGGAGGCTCGGGTTAGGGGGGTGTAGAAAGGGAGACTATTTCCCGGGTTAAAGTAGGTCTTAAACAGGGTTTGAAAATTTTCACCAGGGGTTGTTTAATATATTAAAAGAGGGGGTTTTGTAAAAGAATAAATGCTAGGGTGTTGGGGAGAGGGCGGGTTTTAAAATTGGGGAATAAAAATAAAAAAAGGAAAAATTCACACATTTTATTTTTTTCCCTTGTTTATACTGTGCTTTAGGGGAAATCTAAAAAAAAAATTGAAAAGGTTTAGGGGACGATTTTGGGGAAGGTTTTAAAAGGGTAAAAAATTTAAAAAGTGAAAAGAGAAAAGAGAAAAAGTATGGGGAAAAACCCAAATTTATTTTGTAAAAAAAAATTTGGGAAAGAAATTGGGGAGGATTAAGGAAGAAGTAAATTTTTTCAGATATTTGGGGTTGACGACCCAGGGGATGAATTTAAAAAAATGAGGTTATCATAAATTGATAAAAAAAAAGGGGCGAGTGGTGCGTTGGGGAAAAATGTGGGGCCCAAAAAGTTATCTATAGGGGCCCAAAGGGGGGAATGCATGGAAGTATATATACCAACACTCTTATATGGGTGTAAGCTTGGGTTTTAAATGGGGCAGCAAGGGCCGGTTTGGGGGCAGTGGAATTACCCGTCTAAGGGCAATGTATAGCGTGAATATTTTTCAAAAATTCGGAGTGGGGGAAATTAGGAGAAGGGTTTTGGGGGTTAATAAAATTTTTTAGTCAAGGGCTGAAAAGGGGTTTTTGGGGTTGGTCATTTAGAAGAATGGAACAAAGTAAACGACATGAAGACGTAAAACGTAGCGGGAAAGGGAAGGGGCGGTAGGGGTCGGTTTCCCCGAAAAAAGGGTTGGGAAAGGGGGGTTAAAAGGGGGCTTTGGGGGGCGAGGGGCTTTTTGGGCTTTCACAAGCGGCCCTGAGCGTTCGATAGGAGTTTAAAGGGGACGAAAAGGTATTTGGACCTGACGAGCTGTCCCGGGGTGTGACAGGGTAATATATAGTTAATGTTCAGGAATACCGGGTTTTTTTTATATAGCCGGCCCTTTAGTCCCTTTAAAATGGGGAATACAAACCTGCCCTTTAAAGGGGGAGTTCGGGGTATTGGCCGTTTTGGGGGGATAAGTTGGTATAAACTTTTAAAGTTTTTTAAGCTGTTGTATTCGGGGCACCTCTGCAAAAACAGTGAAATTAAAGTGGAGTGAAAGGGGAAAAAGGTTTTAATTTATGATGAAAGAATTTTTGGGGGGGGGAAATTTTTTTTCTTTTTTTGGGCACCCCCGCCTCCCGTTGGGGGACGGCCGACTTGTTAAAATTATTGAAAATAAAATATAAAAGTAAAACATTAATTAAGAGTAAGACGGAGAATAGGATAGCAATGAAAAGGAGGGTTTAGGGAAAGGGAAAGGGGGGGTGGGGGAAACCCGGTTTTACAGTGAAACATATAAGTGAACAGTATTTAATAAGGCTAAAGAGGTCTTTTTTGGCATTTATGGATTTTTAAAAAAGGGGTAAAGGGTGGAAAAGGGGGGGAATGTGGCAGAAATTTTTCAAGTGTTTTTGGTGTAGGGGGGAGGTTACTAAGCCCGTTTTTGATTTTTACGAGGATATAGGCTCAATTTTGAGGGATGTAAAGGGAAAAAAGGGAAATTTTTTCCCCCGTAAAGGTAGGCCTTAAACAAAGGGTGTGTATTTCACCGTTGGGTTTTTAATTAAAATTTTTAGATGGGGTTGGGAAGGAAGTAAATTGCGAGGGTCTTGGCAAGAGGCTGGGGTTAAAAGATAAAGAAAACACCCAAAAAGTGGGAGTTTTCACCCCCTGCCTTTGCTGATTCACTTTTGCTCTTTTGGGGAAATTTTGAAAAGAATTGCAGAGATTGGTGGATGAATTTGGGGAGGGGGTGCAAAAGAAAAAATTAAAGTTGGGAAAACAGGAAAAGGGGTAAAAGGTTTTTGAGGAAACAAAAAGATTGGGGGATGAAAGATTGACTACAATTGGGGGGAGAGAGTTTTGGAGGATTTTTTTGTATTCAGATATTTGGAGGGACGTGTCGCGATGGGGCAAAAAAAAAAATTTAGGGGAATCCTAGAAATTTATAAAGGGGAAAAAGAGTGAGTGGTGCACTTAGAGTCTGTGGAGACAAAGAACTTTGTCCTTGGAGGCAAAGAGGGGAATGTATGAGAGTATAGTTTTACCAACGCTCTTATATGGGTGTGAAGCGTGGGTGATGAATGTTGCAGCGAGGAGAAGGCTGGAGGCAGTGGAGATGTCATGTCTGAGGGCAATGTGTGGTGTGAATATAATGCAGAGAATTCGTAGTTTGGAAGTTAGGGGGAGGTGAGGATTACCAAAACTGTTTTGTCCAGAGGGCTGAGGAAGGGTTATTGAGGTTGTTGCGGACATGTTAGAAGAGAAATGGAGCGAAACAGAATGACTTCAAGAGTGTATCAGTCCCTGTAGTTGGAAGGAAGGCGGGTAGGGGGTCGGCCTGGAAGGGTAGGAGGGAGGGGTAAAGGAGGTTTTGTGTGCGAGGGCTTGGACTTTCCAGCAGGCATGCTTGTGCGCGTTGAAAGAGTGAATGGAGACAAATGGTTTTTAATACTTTATACGTGCTGTTGGAGTGTAGCAAAGTAAACATTTATGAAGGGAATTCAGGGGAACCGGCAGGGCCGGACTTGATTCCGGAATGGGAAGTAACTGTGCCTGCACTCTGAAGGAGGGTGTTTAATGTTGCAGTTTAAAAAACTGTAGTGTAAAGCACCCATCTGCAAGACGTGATGGAGTGAATGATGGTGAAAGATTTTCTTTTTTCGGGCGCACCCTGCTTGTTGGAAACGGCCAGTGTGATAATAAAAAAAAAAAATAAAAATATTTCACTCTCTCTATACATGGAATAAGGCCCATGAGTGACTCACTTTTGGTTATTCATCCAAGGTTAATCCGAAATTTTTTTTTATTCTTCATACAGAGACACGAAACATAATCACACTGCAGGCACCCTTTGTATTAATCAGTTTAAGTTTTATAATACACCAACGCAAATTACTAATTTATGGTTAATTGTAAATAACATCAGATCAAGAATAAACAGAATGACGGACGAGGAAGGAACGCACGGTCCGTAAATTGAACAATTCCACCGCTTTTACCACCCGGCTACCTGAGCCTGTGAATGAAGTCAGGCTCGGAATGTATGCTTGTGTACATATTTCCGTCAGATATGAACCGCTAACTTCTAACTTAATTGGCTTCTTTCCACTGCCCAACAGCTTTTACAGTATATCATTTTTACCTCCCCAATGAAATTATAGACCTATAAATTGAGATTAAGTTGTAATAAACAAGTGTCAATGAACTAACACAAGGATGGATGGGGGGGGGAAGGAGCTAAGTGCGGCTCATAAACTGACACTTTCGACTAGGTACCACACCTCGACACTGATTTTCTAATAGAGAAGGAAGATTCATGCCGAGGATGGTAGAGCATTAGACTGTATATTTCTGACCCGCTATTTGCTCCTCAATCGTAAAAATGAGCATTTCGATGAATGTATGCTCATGCATGAACATATAAATGTAACTTCATGCAATAATTCATGATTTGTATGTGTGCAGACAAGCGACAAACATGGTGTGCTGTGTGGTTACAACTGTGGTGGCGGCTGTTGTGGTGCTGATATTGACTGTCAAGTTCATCTATCGTTACCAGTCAGGACGATGTACCTCCAAAACAAGACTGGTGGGTAAGACAGCCATCGTCACAGGAGCATCTGCAGGTATGTCCTACAAACTGCTTATCTGCCACTGCTGTATTATGTTTTCTATATATATTTTTGTAAACATTCCAATTATCACTCGTTGAGAAATGGTTTACCAGCTAAGGTTAAAGATTAAATATAGGGGGAACTTAGCTTGGTAAGACATCTCATCGCTTGCACAGCCGCCCCTGCAGGCGAGGTCTTGAGAAGTCATAACCACTTTGCAATGGGCTGAAGTAGAGTATATTATGTATGATTATAAATTACCCCTAGGGGGTGTTATGTCAGCATATATCAGACACTGATTGCTGACAACACTTACTTGTGTGGGCTCAAACGTCCACTATCAACCGTATGATAAGAGCAGTTAACTCGAACTTTTATACTCAACTGCACAGTCAATAGTAGTACATCACAGTTAGTACCACTTACCTGGGTATATGAATCTGACCTGTAGTTAGCCCAGTATATCCATGACGCTTGATTGAAGATAGTGTTCATTGAAGAATGTTGCACTATACACTCTGTTGGATCGCAACACTCATTGTTACACTGTTCATCAATAATTGTTCACACCATAATGTCACTAAAGAAGCTGATCACTACTTCTTTCTCTGTATGTGTTTATTGAGATTCTTTTGTGGCAAAACGTGCGGAAACATTGTTCTTTGATGGTTACCAGGCATGTCAATATCTCTCATCAGTAGAGTCAAAAGTAATCTGACCTCACAGCATCCTACGCCCGCGGCAATGCCCTAGAACATAAAGAAACGCTGACCTATAACTTTTTTTGCTTCCTTGCAAACTTCCTCCATGAAGCAAAGCAGAATGCTTGATTTCTTGTTGTTTTAAGCATCGACGAACAATGGTTACACTATCTTTACCATGGAAATAAAAGTGAGAGCAGGATGTTCCTTAATTGTCCTGCTAAGGTAAAGAGAAAGGACCTGTCTCTTAGTAGACTACACTTTGCAACACTTGATTCCTTGCAAAGGAGCGGCAGTCGCTTTGACCACGGTCACATACTCGTATTGCATATCAGGGATCCAAATACTTGCTGAGCAGTAAACAAGAATGTTTGCCCCTTCTGATAGGGCTGGCCCCTCAGGCTGAAAGGGCTGAAGGTGCTGATACCCACCATTCCTTGAGAAAATTTCTCCACCAATCAACTGATCCTGATTTAGGGGATTATCAGAGAAAATACACGATTTGGTTTCAAGAGACTTGCTTATCACGATATTAGAGACTTAAAATGGAGCACCACCGCTCACTCCCTGAGAGGTGTCAACCACATAGATTATGAGTTGAACGGTTTAAATATAGCAGTTTATACTTGAACTGTCAAACATATTATTTTGAAATAGTGATTCTCACCTTCTTGTAAAACATCGGAAGTCTGAGTTGGAGGAGTGAAACCAGTTACATTTGATTAGACTGTTATCAACAGTTGCAGTTGATGAGACTGTTATCAATAGTTACAGTTGATGAGATTCTTATGAACGGTTGTGGCTGATGACACTGTTATCAACAGTTACAGTTGATGGGACTGTTATCAATAGTTACAGTTAATGAGATTGTTATCAACAGTTACAGCTGCTGACACTGTTATCAACAGTTGCAGTTGATGAAACTGTTATCAAAAGTTACAGTTGATGAGACTCTTATCAACAGTTACACTTGATGAGACTCTTATCAACAGTTACAGTTGATGAGACTGTTATCGTCAGTTACACTTGATGAGACTGTTATCGTCAGTTACACTTGAAGAGACTGTTATCGACAGTTACACTTGATGAGATTGTTATTGACAGTTACACTTGATGAGATTGTTATCGACAGTTACACTTGATGAGACTGTTATCGACAGTTACACTTGAAGATACAGATATCGTCGTTACACATTGAAGAGACTGGTTATCGACAGTATACACTTGATGGAGACTGTTACGTCAGTTACACATGAAGAGACTGTTATTGACAGTTACAACTTTGATGAGACTGTTTTATCGTCAGTTTACACTTGAAGAGACAGTAATCGTCAGTTACATTGATGAGACTGTTACGTCCCTTACACTTTAAGAGACTTATTAGACAGTTACACATGAAGAGACTTACCGACATAACACATGAATAGACGTTATCGACAGTTACACTTGAAGAGACTTTGATTTATCGACAGTTACACTTGAAGAGACTGTTATCGACATTTACACTTTTTGAATGAGATGAGACTGTTATCGACATTTACAGTTGTGAACTGTCAAGAAAACTTTACATGTAAATCAATGTTCAGTTAACAGCTTAACTTGTTAATGTTTGACAGGTATCGGGAAGGAGACAACTTAACATAGTAATGTTTGACAGGTATCAGGAAGGAGACAACTTAACATAGTAATGTTTGACAGGTATCAGGAAGGAGATCAACTTAACATAGTAATTGTTTGACAGGTGAACAGGAAGGAGACAACTTAACATAGTAATTGTTTGACAGGTATCTGGAAAGGAGACAAACTTAACAATAGTAATGTTTGATCAGGTATCGGGAAGGAGACAACTTAACAATAGTAATGTTTTGACAGGTATCAGGAAGGAGACATCTTAACTAGTAATGTTTGAACAGGTATCTGAAGGAGACAACTTACATAGTAAATGTTGCAGGTATCGGAAGGAGACAACTTACCATAGTAATTTTGACAGTTACATGAAGGAGAACAACTTAAACATAGTAATGTTTGACAGGTATCGGGAAGGAGACAACTTAACATAGATTGTGTATACAGGTATCGGAAAGACAACTTAACATAGTAATGTTTGACAGGTATCAGGAAGGGACAACTTAACATAGTAATGTTTGACAGGTATCAGGAAAAGAGACCAACTTAACATAGTAATGTTTGACAGGTATCAGGAAGGAGACAACTTAACATAGTAATGTATTTGACAGTATCTGGAAGGAGACAACTTAACATAGTAATGTTTGATACAGGTATGGGAAGGAGACAACTCAACATTGTAATGTTAGACAGGTATCAGGAAGGAGACAACTAAACATAGTAAAGTTGACAGGTAATCTGGAAGAGACAAACTTAACATAGTATATTGTTTGACAGGATATCGGGAAGGAGACAACTTAACATAGTAATGTTTGACACCACTAGGTATCAGGAAGGAGACCAACTTAACATAGTAATTTTGACAGTATCGGAAGATACAACTTACATAGTAATGTTTGACAGGTATCGGGAAGGAGACAACTAACATAGTAATGTTTACAGTTATCGGGAAGGAGACAACTTAAACATAGTAATGTTTGACAGTTATCAGGAAGGAGAGCAACTTTAACATAGTAATGTTTTGACAGGTATCGGGAAGGAGACAAACTTAACATAGTAATTTTGACAGTATCAGGAAGGAGACAACTATAACATGTAATTTTGAACAGGTATCAGAAGGAGACAACTTAACATAGTAAAAATGTTTGACAGGTATCAGGAAAGAACAACTTAACATAGTAATGTTTGACAGGTATCAGGAAAGGAGACAACTTAACATAGTAATGTTTGACAGGTATCTGAAGGAAGACAACTTAAACATAGTAATGTGTGCCAGGTATCAGGAAGGAGACAACTTAACATAGTAATGTTTACAGGTATCAGGAAGGAGACAACTTAACATAGTAATGTTTGACAGGTATCAGGAAGGAGACAACTTAACATAGTAATGTTTGACAGGTATCAGGAAGGAGACAACTTAACATATTAATGTTGACAGGTAATCTGGAAGAGAACAACTTAACATAAGTAAATGTTTGACAGGTATCAGGAAAAGGAACACTTAACATAGTAATTTTGACCGGTACAGGAAGTATACAACTTAACATTAGTAAATGTTGACAGTATCGGAAAGATACAACTTAACATAGTAATGTTTAGACAGGTAAATCAGGAAGGAGACAACTTAACATAGTACTGTTTGACAGGTAATCAGTAATTAGACAACTTAAAATAGTAATGTTTGACAGGTAATCGGGAAGGAGACAACTGTAACATAAGTAAAGTTTGACAGGAATCAGGAAGGAGACAACTTAACATATTAATGTTTTGACAGGTATCTGGAAAGGAGACAACTTAAACATAGTACTGTTCGACAGGTATCTGGAGTAGCTACTTAACATAGTAATGCTTGACAGGTATCTGGAAGGAACGAACTTAACATATTAATGTTTGACAGGTATCAGGAGTAGACAACTTAACATAGTAAATGTTTTGGACAGGTTATCGGGAAGGAGACAACTTAACATAGTAATGTTGATCCAGGTATCAAGAAGGAGGACAACTTCACATAGTAAGTTTGACAGGTATCAGTAAGGAGAACAGACTTAACATAGTATGTTTGACAGTATCGGGAAGGAGACAACTTAACATAGTAAATGTTTGACAGGTATCGGGAAGAGACAACATAACATAGAATGTTTGACAAGGTATCGGAAGGAGATACAGCTTAACACATTAATGTTGACAGTTATCGGGAAGGAGACAACCTTAACATAGTAATGTTTTGACAGGTATCGGGAAGGAGACAGCTAACATAGTAATGTTCGACAAGGTATCGGGAAGTAGACAACTTAACATAGTAATGTTTGACAGGTCTCGGAGGAAGGAGACATCCTTAACATAGTAAATATGTTTTGACAGGTATTCGGGAAGAGACACTTAACATAGTAATGTTTGACAGGTATCGGGATGGAGAAACAAAATAAACTTAACATAGTAAGTTTGACAGGTTATCAGGAAGGAGACAAACTTAACATAGTAATGTTTTTGACAGGTAATTCAGGAAGGAGGCAACTTAACATCTAATGTTTGGCAGGTATCGGAAGGAGACAACTTTAACATAGTAATGTTGACATGATATCAGGAAGGAGGCAGCCCTTACTTAACATAGCAAATGTTAGACAGGTATCGGGAAGGAGACAACTTAACAAAGTACTGGTTTGACAGTATCTGGAAGGAGATCAACTTAACATATTATGTTTGACAGTATCGGGAAGGAGACAACTTAACATAGTAATGTTAGACAGGTATCGGAAGGGTGACGGCTGAACATAGTAATGTTTGACAGGTATCTGAAGGAGACAACTTAACATAGTAATGTTATGACAGGTTTCGGGAAGAGACAACTAAACATCGTAATGATTGACAGGTATCGGGAAGGAGACAACTTAACATAGAAAATGTTTGAACAGGTATCCGGGAAGGAGACAACTTAACATAAGTAATGTTTGACAGTATCGGGAAATAGACAACTTAACATAGTACTGTTTGGGAACAGTATCGGGAAAGGAGACATCTTAACATAGTAATTTTTGACAGGTATCGGGAAGGAGACAACTAACATAGTAATGTTTTGACAGGTACGGAAGGATACCAACTTAACATAGTAATGTTTATGACCGGTAATCGGAAGGAGACAACTTAACAAAGTAATTGTTTGACAGTATCAGGAAGGAGACAACATTAACTTAGTAATGTTTGACAGGTTATCGGAAGTGAGACAACTTAACATAGAAATGTTTGACACGTATCGGAAGGAGACAACTTAACATAGTATGTCTGACAGGTATCAGGAAGGAGACAACTTAACATAGTAATGTTTGAACCAGGTATGCGGAAGGAACAACTTAACATAGTAATGTTTGACATGTATCGGGAAGGATACAACTTAACGAATTAATGATTTGACAGGTATCGGGAAGGAGACAACTTAACATAGTAATGTTTGACAGGTATCGGGAAGGAGACAACTTAACATAGTAATGTTTGACAGGTATCGGGAAGGAGACAACTTAACATAGTAATGTTTGACAGTATCGGTGAAGGAGAACAACTTAACAAGTAAGTGTTGACAGTATCGGAAGGAACAAACCCCCCATTTTTTAACTAGTAAATGTTTGACAGGTATCGGGAAGGAAGACAACTTAACATAGTAATGTTTGACAGGTATCGGGAAGGAGACAACTTAACATAGTAATGTTTGACAGGTATCGGGAAGGAGACAACTTAACATAGTATGTTGACAAGTATCCGGAAGGAGACAACATTAACATAGTAAAGTTTGACAGTTATCGGGAGGAGACAACTTAACATAGTAATGTTTGACGGTATCGGGAGGAGACAACTTTAACATAGTAATGTTTGACAGGTATCGGGAAGGAGAACGGGGAACTTAACAATAGTAATGTTTGACAGGTTCGGGAATGAGACAACTTAACATAGTATGTTTTGACAGGTAATCGGAAGGAGACAGCTTCGAGACTTGCTCAAGCGAGGCGGCCCGGGTCATCCTTGCTTGTCGTAATGTATGAGGAAAGCCTGAGAGAGTTGCATGGTTCAGTTCTGATCGAAGTTCTATATCGTACTTTATATGTGTTTATATAAATGTAATAGATTAAGGTAATGTTAAAGCATCATTTAAAAAAATTAATTAAGTGTACTTTTGTTGGCTCTTCAGATTATTGAAGATTTCCTTATATTTAACATAAGAACATAATATAGAAAGAACACTGCAAGCAAGGCCTACTTGGCCCAGCCGGCAGGTCTATGTCTACCCCCAGCTTAGACCAATGCCCACCCAGTCAGGTCACTCCAGTTAAGGAAGGAGCACAGCTTTCTGACCCATAGCACCAGCTCATCAGGTCCTAACTCCACCAAAACACACACACACAACTCACCCACCACCCAAAACGAATATAAACAATATCACCACGACAAACAATGACCCACCGACAACAGTTTTGACAGCCCAACACCAAATTTGAAACACATACCAAATTTAATAATTATCCCGACCCACCACCACTGAACTCCCACTTACAAACACACAAACATTGCAAACAGGTTCGACCAGTTACGCCCACTGACCCACTCATGATATTTTATCTAACGTATTTTTAAAAACTACACACGTCCTTAGCTTCTAAAGACGGTACTACACGGGGAGTTTTGTTTCCACTAACCCACAACTCTATTACCAAACCAGTGCTTTCCTATATCCTTCAGAAATCTTAATTTTTCAAGCTTAAAACCAATGCTGCGAGTCCTGTCTAGGCTAGATATTTTTAGCATGCTATTTACTTCCCTTGTATTTATTCCTGTTTTCCATTTATACACCTCAATCATATCCCCCCTAATTCTACGCCATTTTAGAGAGTGCAGATTCAGGGCCCTCAGCCTATCATCATAGGAAGATTTCTGATACATGGGATCAACTTTGTCATCCTCCTCTGCACGTTTTCCAGAGCATTTATATCGATTCTGTAATACGGTGACTAAAACTGCAGC